CTGGTTCTTCTTAAGTTGCCTTAAGAAGAATAGGCGCTTAGGCAAATTATTGTATTACAATAGTTCGTTCTGTAGACAATTGAAAATAAATGTTGCTTAAATGGGCTAATGTTGACTTTAAAATAGTTTAAAGAAAATAAAAACTCCTTTTATTCCAGCTAAATAGAACAAGTCTAGAAGAATAAAGTATTATTGGAAATACTGTGAAAATTTCCTGCTATGTTAAACATCATTTGTGAAATATTTTAAAAAGATTTTTGACTTCAGCTGTATAAATAATATATTATGTGCCTGACTTAACTTTTTTACAGATGTCAGAAGGGCAAATGGGTTTTGTTTGGCCAACACAGAAACCGTTATTTTTGATCCATATTTACTAGCAGAAGAAGCAAAATTATCTTCAAAGCACAGGTGAGAATCTCATAGATCATCCTCATCTTTGTCCTCTGTTATGTTGTTTTCCATGTGTGAGATAAACATGGAATGAATCGAAATAAATGTGTCTGTACTATGTATGTTTCTTTGTTTGTTTTTTCAGCACATCTAGATCTGACATTGAGTCCCAGATATGGACTGGGACAAGAATTCAAAATGGGATCAGATATGTGAAGGAAACTGTGCACAAGCCTGGAAAGAGCTTCGGGAGTCCTGATGCCGCTGAAAGTAACAACAGAGAGCGTCAACCGAAAAAATCACAGATTACCAGCAACATGACCTACCTCCACCTACAAGCCTGTGAGACAGACATCCTGGAATGACATAAAGCACTTGACCAAGTAATTACTGCTTTCTAGTTTGAAAGACTTCAAAAATAGTATATGAATAAATAATAAAAATATGATTTTTTTTAATTAAGCCTTTTTAGAATGTTTTTATTAAAAAACAATCTTTCTAGATATTATATTATATTATATTATATTATATTATATTATATTATATTATATTATATTATATTATATTATATTATATTATATTATATTATTCATTTTCTTTTCGGCTTGATCCCTTTATTAATCTGGGGTCACCACAGCAGAATGAACTGCCAACGTAACCAGCACATGTTTTACACAGCGGATGCCCTTTCAGCTGCAACCTATCAATGGCAAACATTCATGCATTCCTGTTCACACACATACAATACGGACAATTTAGCTTACCCAATTCACCAAAAGTGCATGTATTTAGACTTGTGGGGGGAAACCCACATGAACACATGGAGAACATGCAGACCCAGCCGAGGCTCGATCCAGTCACCTTCTTGCTGTGAGGCGACAGCGCTACCCATTTCGCCATCAGGCTGCCATTTTATATTATATTATATTATATTATATTATATTATATTATATTATATTATATTATATTATATTATATTATTTTATATTATATTATATTATATTATATTATATTATATTATATTATATTATATTATATTATATTATATTATATTATATCATTCATTCATTCATCCATTCATTCATTCATTCATTCATTCATTCATTTTCTTGTCGGCTTAGTCCCTTTATTAATCCGGGGTCGCCACAGCGGAATGAACCGCCAACTTTTCCAGCAAGTTTTTACGCAGTGGATGCCCTTCCAGCCACAACCCATCTCTGGAAAACATCCACACACACATTCACATGCACACACTCATACACTACGGACAATTTAGCCTACCCAATTCACCTGTACCGCATGTCTTTGGACTGTGGGGGAAACCGGAACACCCGGCGGAAACCCACGTGAATGCAGGGAGAACATGCAAACTCCACACAAAAATGCCAACCGAGCCGAGGCTCGAACCAGCGACCTTCTTGCTGTGAGGCGACAGCACTACCTACTGCGCCACTGCTTCGCCTATATTATATTATATTATATTATATTATATTATATTATATTATATTATATTATATTATATTATATTATATTATATTATATTATATTATATTATATTATATCATATCATATAGACCCTTTTCACATTTCCGGGCTTCTCAGTAGTGGAAGGCGTCTTAGTTGGATAAACTTAGAGAGCAGTGAAACTGTACAACAAATAACTATTTTACAATCATATTTGCTGAAAAAATAAAAGGAAAATGCTACGATGATGTTATCAGGAGTTTTAGAAAAAAGGAAAAAAATTGTGTGAGATTGATGATGGCAGCTAGAGGAGAGAATAATATCAAATGTATTCTCAGCCTCATGGACGCTGAATTAGAAACACCTTGCAAGCTGTAATTGGTTTCTGTAATTTGACGCAAAGATGATATAATACATTCATAAATGCATATAAATGTTGATACATTTAAAAAAAATTGAAATATAAAAAAATTTCAAGGATTTAAGATTACAATGACTGTTAAATGCGTCATAACAGTCTTGTGTAAAGGGTCCATTATATTTTATTTTATTTTGTTTTTTTATTATGGTGGTTCATTTCGCTGTGGCGACCCCTGATGAATAAAGGGACTAAGCTGAAGGAAAATTAATGAATGAATATTAAATTATATTATGTACATGATAAATATTTTAAGTGATGATATCTGCAATGTTAATAAAAAAAGAACTAGCTCTAAGTAATTTTTTTACACTAAGGGTAAATTTACACAAAACCATTTTGACATAAAAAGAGAACACTTTTTAATGCGTTTTGCAGATTCATTTACACAATAACTAGTGTCCTGAAAACATAAACTTTAAAAAACAAGTTTTCTCAGACATGTGCGAGCAAAAATCTGTTTGACAACAACTGGCATTTACAAATAACTCAAATAATTTAGTTAATAAGTGATATCTTGAACAGTATAATTACTGTTTATGAATTGAAAAATAAAGTTTTACTCTATGGCTAAGTATGTTTACATTCAAACACCACACGATATATGCTTGGTGAATGTTAAATATCAAATCTTTTGGCACTAACGGGTTCCACTCTTTTTTTAAGGCTATAAAAATGGGAATATGCTCTCATTCAGATGCTCTGATCAAGACTGATGTTGGATGATTGGGCCTGACTTGAATTTGCTGTTCTAGTTTATCCCACAGGTGTTCAGTGGGGTTCGGATCTAGGCTTTTGTGTAGGCCTGTCAAGCCTTTTTCTCAGTGATTAATTAATTTATAGGCCTCAATTTATGCACAATAGGGACATTATGATGCTGTATGGTGAAAAAGCCCTTTCCAAATTGTTGTTGCCAACTTTCGAGGCACACTATTTTGAAGAATGTTATTGTATTGTAAATGTTCCTGCTTGGAATTTACATCTGGTTAATTAGAAGAGACAATGTTTGCATACTTTTTGCCATTTATTGCCATTATAATTTCAGTAAAACTCAATTAGAGATTAAAATAAACTAAATTGAGTTTTAATAATGACTGGAGAGATAAACGCAACTGTTTTTTTTTTTAAGTAGGTCAAGTCCCTGTAGTGAAACACATTGAAAGCTATAGGCTGATCATTATTTAACTGGAACAGAGAGAATCATTGCAGTCCACGTTCAGGTCAGTGAGCAGTTCCCATGATGAGGGATGTTAATCAGTCCTTATTGGAAGAGTCATTGTGCTCCACTTTTGCATTGCATAAATTGATTTGGCTCACTGCATCCACTCAGACAATCTATACACCCTTGTTTTTGGTCAAAAAACTTTTTTCCCTCACCAACAAATACCCTAATTTACTTTTCTAAACAACAGAGTGGAAGCATTTTTGTAGCTAATGAGTTCCAAAAATCGAAATAGCTTTCACGCTCTACATTTTCTACTGGTGACCTCTTTACTCCGCATAGGGTTATCTAACATTACAAAATAAACAATCTAACTTCTAATTATGAATATGGGGCATTTATATTGACATATGAGGACATTTCATTCTCAGTGCTGTTTATTCTTTATAGGATTCATAATTTTGTACACAATCAAATTTTACTCAAAAAATACTCAAAGCTCATAGAAAAAGCCTTAAATATTTTTATTTTCCTATTCTTATAAATATTTCTTATTAAAATATTAGATTTTTTTGTTATGTCATAATAATCCTATTACTTATTTTCACTTAATAAACATTCAATGCATATTCGTTGTGTTTTAAAAAGGTGTTCTTCAATATCTTTAATATTATGTTACATTATTGTTTTTAGAAAATGCTTGGTGTTATATTGATGTTTTTTTATTGTACTGCACTTTGCACTTTAGTTTTGGAATTGAAAATTGCTATACATATAAATTTGTATGACTTAGTGGTTAGCACTGTTGCCTCACAGCAAAAAAGTCACTAGTTCAAGTCCTGGCTGGGCCAGTCAGCAATTCTGTGTGAAGTTTGCATGTTCTCCCCAAGTTCGTGTGGGTTCTCCTCCGGGTGCTCTTGAGTGTGAATGCAAGAGTGTATGTGTGTTTCCCAATACTGGGTTTTGGATTGAAGGGCATCTGCTGTGTAAAGCAACAACTATGCAACTATGCCGGAATAGTTGTCGGTTCATTTCGCTGTGGCGACCACTGATAAAAAAGGGCCTAAGCTGAAGGAAAATGAATGAATAAATATCTGATATGCCAAGTATTACAGGGCAATATTAGCATGCAACTGATCAATTTTATAATAAAGCAGAATGATCCTAATAAAACAAAACATATAAAGTTTACTAAAACAATTTCTTGAAAAACTGGGTATTTTACATGTTCTTTTGTTGTTTTGTTGACCTCCATTGCCCTCATTTGTGAGTCACTTCAGATAAAAGTGTCTGCCAGATGATTAAATGTAAATGGGTTAGCAATATATGTAATATTTAATATCCAAATGATTTCAACAAGATCAAAATTTTGATCATTTTTAATTCAAGCATTTTAATTTTAATTTATTTGAGCATTTTTATCATTATCATAGGCCAAGTGACAGTTTTTGATCACTACAATAGGCCAAGCTTTAGAGTACTTACTGATCAATAATAACTTTGTGGTGTATTGATTAGTATATAAAAAGCTAATGCAGTGAGCTGACATTCACAGACTGTCACAGAGAGCATAACAGAACTGTTTGTTATTTAATCCCTTTGTTCCACTTCTCTTAAAAGATTTATCTTTACTTTTTGTACACAACAGATATACAACACGAAAACATCAACCTGCTCAGCATGAGCCATCACTCTTCATGGAGAGGGCATCACTGTGCCCCTGGAGACATCAACTGCACCGCAGGCTTTAAGGAATCTTTGGGAAGCAGAAACTACAAGTTGCTCCATGTGCCTGTCCATGGGCCAACCCACAGCCACCACCATGATCCTCCACACCCTTTCCCCACCGTGGATGTTCCGGATCATGCCCACTACATCATCGGCTCTGTTATCTTAATAGTCGGCATCACCGGAGTGATTGGAAATGCACTGGTGGTCTATGTATTCTGCCGGAGCCGTACTCTTCGCACCGCTGGAAACATGTTTATAGTGAACCTAGCTGTGGCTGATTTCTTAATGTCCGTCACCCAGTCTCCTGTGTTCTTTGCAGCCAGTTTACACAGGCGCTGGGTATTTGGCGAGCGCCCTTGCGAGCTCTACGCCTTCTGCGGTGCCCTCTTTGGAATCTGCTCCATGATGACTTTGACCGCTATCGCTGCTGATCGTTGTCTCGCCATAACTCAGCCTCTCGCCCTAGTAAGCAGAGTTAGCCGACGCAAAGCTGGAGCTGTGTTGGTCGTTGTGTGGCTCTACTCCCTGGGTTGGAGCCTTCCGCCTTTCTTTGGCTGGAGTGCTTATGTCCCTGAGGGGCTTCAGACGTCTTGTTCTTGGGATTACATGACCTTCACCCCATCAGTGCGTGCGTACACCATCCTCCTCTTTGTTTTTGTATTCTTCATCCCACTAGGCATTATAGGCAGCTGCTACTTCGCAATTTTTCAAACAATCCGAGCAGCGGGGAAGGAAATTCGAGAGCTGGATTGCGGGGAAACGCACAAGGTGTATGAACGCATGCAGAACGAATGGAAGATGGCGAAAGTCGCTCTTGTAGTCATTGTGCTTTTTATTATATCCTGGTCGCCCTATTCTGTGGTGGCTCTCACCGCTACGGCTGGTTATTCCCATTTCCTGACTCCCTATATGAATTCAGTACCTGCTGTGATTGCCAAGGCTTCAGCCATCCATAATCCAATCATCTACGCCATTACGCATCCAAAGTATCGTGTGGCTATCGCCCGTTACATTCCGGTACTTCGTCCCATCTTGCGTGTGAAAGAGAAGGACCTTCGTTCCTCTTTTAGCTCTGGCAGTGTTAGTTCTCGTCGTCCAACCCTCACCAGTCAGTGCTCTTTGGGGGTTAGCATGGGCAATGCTGCACGAGCTAATGGCCGCTGGGGGAAGACGCGATTGTCTTCTGCCTCTGATAGTGATTCTTGCTGGACTGAGAGTGAGGCCGATGGTTCCAGTGTCAGTTCCCTGACCTTCGGTCGTCGTGTTTCCACAGAAATCTCTACAGATACTGTCATTCTCTCATCTGGATCAAGTGTTAGCAATGCTAGTGGGCAGAAATCTGAGAGGGCACACAAAGTTATAAGTGTACCAGTGCCGTCTATTACTTTTGAAACGGATGCAGCAGACGGGGAATCTCTGTCTGATGGGAAGGCTTTGCTTGGAGGGAACTAAAGAAATGATACTGCACTTCGTTTGATTCTAATTTCCTTAGTAGTAGAAACAGTAGTACTATTAATAGTAGTACTATTATTTTTGATTCTGAATATATAATCTTATATTTTTCTTCACTCTGCACGTTGTAAGTAAAGCCCTGGTCAGATCACACAAAATTGTTGCGACTTCCTTGATGTAGGGTCTCGTGGGGATTCTAAATGACAAATAGGCGTTGTGACTCAAGATTTAACCGTTTCTCTTGCGTAATGTTGCATAGTTCACGACAACTGATACATGCCTGCAACGCCTTACAACACAGAAAGTCTAGCATGTTTAATTTTTTCTCATTCTTTATGACGAGTTCTGTCACGTAGATGACACTGCAATAAGACCACATCATTTCTTGTTTATATCAGTGGGTGCTGCCGTTAATGCGCCGATAAGGTAATCAAAAAATAGACTGCATATTTACTTATGAGTGGGTCACGGGTGGATAAGATCAATCGTTATTGGTTATGCAAACGTTAACTACCTTTTCTAAAATATTAAGGTGTTTTAAGCAATTTTATCTGACAAACTGGCACAATTATGCAGACTTCTTCATTCTCACAACGAGTTTCTGAGTTCTCTCATCCTTCCAACAAACTTTGTTCTTCCGAGGTAATCTGGAAACATGTTTATCTGCGAATACATTGTAAAAGCATTTCCTGCTTATTCAAATTTGTCATTAACAGTGAAAACAGTTTAATATAGGTTTCTCTAAAACTGTGAATATTTCACTTTAATTTTATTTAGGCTAGATTATTATTTTATTTAACAAACCAACACAATATCACGGCAATTCATGTTTTGAAGCGCTTCACCTCAGATGTCATTTGTTATTCTTGTTTATAGATAACTGACCGACAAAAGATTATTAAAAACATTAAAATTATAGCAAACGAAATTAGTTTCAAAAAGATTTTTTTTTCAAGAAAAATATACAAATTATATTTTTGTTTGTGCTCTCCACTACTCAACTATACGGGTGGATGATTTGTTTCACTCTGAGGAAAATAAGGATTTAATGAAGGCTTTACTGTGATTGTATCACATATTTGCTAATGGGGTGTCACGGTGGCGCAGTGGGTAGCACAATCGCCTCACAGCAAGATGGTTACTGGTTTAAGCACCCGCTGGGTCAGTTGGCATTTCTGTGTGGAGTTTGCATGTTCCTCCTGTAGTGTATATGTGTGTGAATGAGAGTGTATGGGTGTTTCCCAGTGATTGGTTGCAGCTGGAAGGGCATCCGTTGCGTAAAACATATGCTGGATAATTTGGCGGTTCATTCCGCTGTGGTGACCCCTGATTAATAAAAAAATGTGTGATTTGACCTGGGCTTATCTTGTAACTTGGTAGTTTTTTTTCAATTAGTGTAGGATTTTTCTTTCATCAAATGTATAAATTTGTTTATTTGTTTCTATGCAATAAAATCGGAATAATCTAGATGTATTTCAAATATTTAAAAATTCTTGTTTGTATTTCAATAGTTTGATTAATGTATGTAAATGTTTGACATAATATTTATTTAAATAAAACAGCACACAAATATATCATGAGTAACCTTGCTTCATTTCTGATGTTTTTCATAATGTTCCGTTTTCACATTAATTGTTTAATTTCTTACTGTCTTTCTTTGTACATATTTCTATACTGACAAAAGCACATTTAAAATGTATGAGCTTCATTCCATTATAAAAAAATAACATTTCATAGATATTGTCGCAGAAATGTTAAATATTATTTCATTTCTTGCATGATCAACTTTTAGTAAATCTATTGTTGAAGGCGCCTTTGATTGACTTTTATTTTGAATTCGTCTGTCACTTGTAAATCGTGACCCGGATGTTGTATGTAACAATGAGACGCTGATGTTGTCTTGTTCATTCGTGCAGTATTATCGTGTGTGCTGTGTGTGTCTGTCCTCTCAGCAGCGCAACCAGAGTGAAACACGACACTCATTTGAAGTGAATTATTAATGGCAGACAGACGATTGTGGAAATAATTGCCAATATGGGGGATGATGACTTAGACTACAACATAGTTTTTTCAGAGGCACTGATCTCAGGTGAGAATGACAGCAGCACTGGTTTATCTTGTTTGACAGTAAATGCATGGAAGCCTGCAATCGATGATTATAACCTTGGTAGAACTGAAGTCGCTATATTGGAGAGCTGTAACAATACTTTTGGTGTGATTATCAGTGGATTCATGTTGTTTGGACACATTATTCATGTCTTGACAGAGAAACACTGGCGTGGATCGAAGGAGCCAGTCGTTATTCTGCTGGGCTGGGCGGGCAGCAGAGACAAGCACCTCGCCAAATACAGCTCTATTTACAACGAACAGGTGAAATAGTTTATTAAAATTTTTCAAAATATAAATATGTTAGTGTTTTTCTTTTCAGTTATCGATCATTTTGAACCTCTACCCTTGAAAGAGAAAGTAAACTGACTCTTAAACGCATTATCTATCTATCTATCTATCTATCTATCTATCTATCTATCTCATACACTGTTTTTAAAAAATAAAGGCATATTGACAAATGACTCGATGAAAAACATTTTCATTCCACAAAATGTAAAGGTTTTTTAGATTATGAAAATTTTCTTCAGTCTACTAAAATATTAAGGTAAAGTAGTTTTTTTATATTCGCACATTCAGAATTTCTTCTTAATAATATTTCAGTTAAGTATTATCTGAAAATTCTAAATAAGGAAATCCTATTATCAGCCAGTGACCATCAGAGTACAACATTGTTCACAGTCAATTAAATAGTGCTAATGTTGTTTTGAAGTCATACTTGCATGCAATTTCAGACCCATTATTCAAATTAACTTGATAAACAATATAGGGAATCCGTTAAATGAACGAATATGGTAATATAAAACCAACTTTGCCTCAGTTACAAAAATAGGATTCTTTGAAAAACTTTCTACTAAAAGGTGTAATTGCAGTGAAAAAAAACTTTTTGCTTCTTTGCTTTTACTTGTAAGCAAGTTTCATCTTTCTAATGTTTTATAACTTTGCAAAGTATTAAATTATAACTGAGAAAGCTTTATTAGAACTGTGATGTCAAAACGTTTAACAATAAGTGCTCATGGGTAGCTTAAATAATGTGTCGGTGCTTTTTGGGTAAGGTTTTCAATAAAATAAACACCAAAGTCCAAGGCACTCGAAAAATGTGGGGAATTTTTTTTTAAAAGCTATTCATGTCAATAAAGGCTTTTAACATTTTTTCCACATTTATCGAGTACCTTGGACTGACTTGCTGTTTAAAAAAGTTTTATGCAATGATAATTGTAATTAAATGTTTCACTCTTTTAACAACTAGGACAGTAGTAGGAAAGTACACCCCACTATAACTGCTGTAATGATGACCCGATGACTCAAAGGAATTATATCACTTTAGGAACTTTTTTTTAAAATCTAATAATGAATGTTAAAAACATTGACCGCCAATCAGCCTCTTGTTTATTTTAAACCCACCATTTTTTTATTTTGTTTTATGATGTAGAAAAAGTTATATACGTTTCACAAGTGTGCAAAATATGCCTGTTAAGTTTCAGCTCAAAATACCTCACACATATTTTCTATAATACCATAATCAAAATCATATCTCTTTAAATGCAAATACACTTCTTCTCCCTGCCTTCCATTCTTAATAGATACAATAGGGTATATGCAGAAAGACTTAATTTCAGTAACCAAGTTATACCGTTTCCGGTGAACTCTATGCCCTTACAAAATCGCCACGTTTAAGGTCTGTTTTTTTTAAAAACCAATGATCTTTACTGCCTGATTGATGTACAATAGAAAGTGGGTTTCAGAATGTACAAAAAGCACTGCATTAAATTATTTTCTCGACATGTCTTTAAAACATGCAGTGCTCAGCATAATAAAGTGCACCCCATTTTGAAAATGAATATTTGAATCCATTTCTCAGTGAATATAGGGAATGTATTTTAGTGCATTTAACAAAACAGATTTATTAAACAGATATATTTATTAAATTAACTTTTTAGTCACAAAACATATTTAGAAATTGAAAGACGATACAATTAAATTCAAGCAAAATATTGCTAAAAATTTGCAACCTACAAAATTTCAACAAAATATTTAAATTGTTTTGCTTCTCTTGATTTTTCCTTTTTTTATTTGTATTGAATATTTTTCTATAGCATACATTTGGGTGTACTAGTTTTTGGACCGTTATCGTAAGTTGTTTTGTTAGATAACCTCTAGATTTGTGCTAGCCTGCTGAACCTAATGGCGCAAACAAATTTTCATCTTGTTTTACACTTATATGCTTAAGACTATTTAACTGATTATATTTTAATTCACAATTAGCTGATGGTGGGAGGAAACTGGGTAAACCCACGCAAGCATGTAGACTTTGCACAATAATGTTGACTGGTCTGGTAAGGACTTGAACCAGTGACTTTCTTGCTGTGAGGCAACAGTGCTAACCAATGGGGCACCTTGCTGCCCTATCTAGGAAAAAGGAGGAAGAGTAGGGATGGAGGGGGGAGGGGGGTATTAACTCTGGTTATTTATAGTGAGTTAGGAATCATCTGATTGGTGCAACGTGTGTCAGCGCATGCTTTACCAGCTATGTTCAATCATAAGCACGTGATCTGCTCGAAATTAGTTTATAAATACACTTCACTTAAATTACAATGTTGGGGCTGTAAAAGGAACTGTATAAAATTGAAAAAAGTCACATTAACCGTTCACCGGAAGTTTATTAGTAGGGGAAGAAACACTAGCTGTGCATATACCCTGTATGTTATAAAAGAAGTCAATCCCGTCAAGGTCAAAGTTTGTAATATGATTATAACATCTTATCATTTCTCCACAGGGTTGTACGACTCTACGCTACACGGCTCCTTTAAAGACGGTTTTTATTTCAGAATCATTGGGCTACAAGGAGCTAAGAAGCACTGCACACAAACTACTCGAACTTCTGTATGACTACGAGGTGGAAAACAACCCGATCTTCTTCCATGTGTTCAGCAACGGGGGCTTCATGCTTTACCGCTACATGGTTGAGTTGCTGCACAGTCACAAGCAGTTCAGCACTCTGTGTGTGGTGGGCACAGTTGTGGACAGTGCTCCGGGCAGCCAAAACGTCGTAGGGGCCCTCAGAGCACTCAAAACCACTTTAGGGCCCAAAGTGAACGTGCTACTGCAGTACTTCCTCCTGGCACTGTTTGCTGTTGCGGTTTTCCTCCTCAGGATTGTTTTGTATCCCTTGACCAAGTATTTTCACAGGAACCACTATGATGCTATGATGGAGCATCCAGCGCCGTGGCCTCAGATGTATCTCTATTCCAGAGCAGACCGCGTGATCCGCTACAGGGACGTGGAGAAGATGGTGAAAGGGTTGCAGGAGAAAGGGCTGATGGTTGAAAGTTTTGATTTCATCACCCCTGCACACGTGAGCCTGTTCAGAGACTGTCCCGAGGACTATTCTAATAGATGCAGGACGTTTCTGAGCCACTGCATGACTACTTCAGAGGAGATCTTGATGAAAAAGCATCACTAATTATGCAGTTCATGACTGGCTCATTAATATACTCGCTGTACACTTTTTTTATCGTGTACAAACTACCCTATTTGTGAAATAAAAGCACTGCTGTTTAATATAATCAACTTATCTCAAGCCGTACATGAGGTTTTTAACAGGGGTCTACAACAACTTATCTCCGAAGTATTTTTGTCTTATGCTGTGAAATGATTTGTAAATTAGGGAGTTGTTGATTTGTAACATTGAGATTTTTAGATATTGTGTACGAGTAATTTTTTGTTGTCTAGACATTGTGAATGAATAAATTAATATATTTGACTGATGTGCCTTCCTTGAATAAAAGCTTCTGTTAACTAAACTGAATCAAAGTCAACTTTTCCAAAGGGAAGTCAGTGTTGAAGGTGAGCGGCACGGTTGACTTGGTTGTGGAAAAGCTGTGACCGACTGCACAAGCTGCTTAGGTTAGCTTATAGGTCTGGTCATAACCATAGATTGTCTAAAGATGTACAGCATATTTCCGCTGTTTCCCACAAATATTCCAGGCTTCTATCTCCCTTTGGTCAACAGTGAGTACGTTTACATGGACACCAACTATCCGATTTTATTATAAGACAACACACCAATTAAGAGTCTTCCATGTAAATAGCAATTTTTAATTAATTTAATCTGACAAAAGTCCTAATCGAACTAAACAGAAATCGAATTAAGACATGTGGAGTATGCCGATTATAGTCACATTATTGAAGGGCAGTACAAACATGTAAACACCTTATTAAAACTATTCCCGTCATGTAGGAATTTTGCAACAAGTAACTCACAAGGCAACAATAACTCAAATAACCACTCGTTACAACCGAGGTATGCAGAAAAGCATACTGCATCACACATAACATGTCCAACCTTAAGGCAGATGGGCTACAGCAGCAGAAGACCACACCGGGTGCCACTCCTGTCAGCTAAGAACAGAAAACTGAGGCTACAATTCGCACAGGCTAACTAAAATTGGAAAATAGAAGATTGGAAAAACATTGCCTGGTCTGATGAGTCTCGATGTCTGCTGCGACATTCGGATCATAGTGTCAGAATTTGGCGTCCACAACATGAAAGCATGGATCTATCCTGCCTTGTATCAATGCTTCAAGCTGGTGGTGGGGGTGTAATGGTGTGGAGGATGTTTTCATGGCACACTTTAGGCCCATTAGTACCAATTGAGCCTTGTCAACGCAACAGCCTACCTTAGTATTGTTGCCGATCATGTCCATCAATATACCCATCTTCTAATGGCTACTTACAGCAGGATTACGCACCATTTCATAAAGTGCAAATCATCTCAAACTGATTTCTTGAATATGACAATGAGTTCACCATGCTCAAATGGCCTCCACAGTCACCTGATCTCTCAATCCAATAGAGCACCTTTGGGAACGGGAGATTCGCATCATGGATGTGCAGCTGACAAATCTGCAGCAACTGTGTGATGCATTCATGTCAATATCGACCAACATCTCAAATATATTTCCAGTACCTTGTTGAATCTATGCCACGAAGGATGAAGGCAGTTCTGAACGCAAAAGGGGGTCCAACCTTGTACTAGTAAGGTGTGTAACCCCCGCCGGTCCTACACCACCCAATCCGCTCCGAGCTAGGATCGAACCGGCAATCTTCACATGCGAGACGATTGCTCTAACAAGGAGGCTAAAGACAGTGGCCTCTAGTACTAGAGCAGCTTTAGAGGTCAGAGGAGTTTTTACCTGCACAGCACTTACTAGCTGGCCTTCGTTACACGTGCACCTAATAAAGTGGCAGGTGAGTGTGTAATATAACAATATTTGTACTGTTTTAGTGTATAAAAAGTCTAAATAGGGACCATGGCAGTAAATTAGCCATTGGCTAGAAGTTTATATGTGGACTATTGGCTGCTTTCAACTATAGCAATGTTATACTGCATCTGTTGAACAAACCTACTAACTAAAATATAGTATTTTTCTATTTAGGGGTTTAAATGAAGATGCTTTTGAACAACAAACCAACAAAAAGAACAAAATACATATACTGCACAGTTATAACAAAAGGTCAGGATATAGAAATGCGTCGTTCAACCCAGAAGCTGGAACTGCTTGGACAACAGACTGGTCACTCAGTACAGCAACAAATGCCTCCATTGAGTTACAAAGCTTCTTTGTATTCATATTGTGATGTTGCTTAGTATTTTCAACTCAAGTTCCTTCTTCTCAGCTGGCTTTGTCTTCCCATTTACAGACTTCATCTTATATCCAATGCTATAGAAGATCTTTCCAGCAATGCAGTCCCGTCACTATCCTCATGTGTGTTATAGAGAGATATTTCACTTCCAGGCAGGTAAAATTGGCCTTTGTCAGTCTTGACAGTTTGCCAGTTTGTGATCAGGAGGGCTTCAAATTGGTCAGGTGAAGGTTCTCATGGTGTCTCCGACTGTCACATCTGACATTTCAGAGCGAGTCACTGGCATTTGTCTCTCTGGAAAGCCGTCTGTGGCACTTCATGTATCATTTCCAGCCACCAAAGGGGGAAGAGAGAAACAGAAGAGTTTATTTATCTGTTTAGACAGAAGAATATCGCATATTGAAGTACATCATAAATGAACAGCTTTTTTTCCTCTGATTGCTCAAAAAGGGTTGGCGTTAATGAGTGTATGTTCTCTTAAAAATGGGTTTAAAGGGTAACTTAAAGTATTAAATGAGAGTGTTATTCGATTATTTAATTATAAATATGCGAAATTTCTGCAGGGGTGGCGCGGTGGCACAGTGAGTAGCACCGTCGCCTCAAAGCAAGAAGGTTGGTGGTTTGAGCCTCGACAGGGTCAGTTGGCATTTCTGTGTAGAGTTTGCTTGTTCTCCCTGTGTTCGCGTGAGTTTCCTCCGAGTGCTCCAGTTTCCCCCACAAGTCCAAAAACATGCGCTATAGGTGAATGGGTTAAGCTAAATTGTCTGTAGTGTATGTGTGTGAATGAGAGTGTGTATGGGTGTTTCCCAGTGATAGGTTGCAGCTGAAAGGGGATCCACTGCGTAAAACATATGTTGGATAAGTTGGCGGTTCATTCCACTGTGGCTACCCTGATTATTAAAAGGACTAAGCCTAAAATAAAATAAACGAGTGAATGAAATCCCTGCACACATCAGACCACCAGCTGAGATGACGAAGTCTGCAGAAACATACCCCCCACCCCCACCACCCCCCCAAAAAAAACATCCTTAAAACAGCACATATGTCTTCAGTGGTTCAGTATTATGGATATTAGTATTATCAAATATGAGAATACGTTTTAGTACACAAAAGAAAAATAACTTTATTCCAAAAAATGTTCTCCTCAGTGTCAGTATAGGGCGCATGTTCACAAGAACAACTTTGACAAATGAGATATTATAGGAGATTTTGAGTTTTTATTTTGCTTTATGTGCGCACAGATTCTCATAAGCTTAATATTTTTCGGATTGAACCACTGAAGAAATGGTCTTTGAGAATTTTTTGAGAGTTTTTATGGCCCTTGGGTTGACTAATCATGTAATATGCAACTATTTTTGTTCAATGTTTATGTTAAATATGAGTTGTCCATTTCAAATAGTTTAAACATTTAATGGAAATGTCATAAATATAAAAAAAAGCTATTTATTTTATTTATTATTTATTCTTTTATTATAATTAGAAATTCTGTTAACACAAAATTATTTATTATTAATTGTCAAAATAAATTAAGAAAATATATGTAACAGTGACTGAAGTGTAATCATAAAAAAGTAATCTTTCCAAACAATAAATTGTGCACAAAATGCACAGATGCGATATTCTTTCACTGTATTGATAGTCTCAGTCTTATCTTATCCTAATTAATACATTTATATAAATTATTTTCATTCTGTTGTTGCATCATGTTTGCTGTGAGGTGCTTTTTGCATTCCGCTGTAGGACATTAGTTCCAGTAGAGGGCAGCATTTCTCCGTAATTCACCTGCTGTGCTTTTAACAAAGACGCCAAGTCTCTCTTCGCCTTCGGCTTTGTTGTTTCATTCGACATAGCTTTAAGTTCTTTGTATTAAGTTATACTTGTATTTAGCTCAAGTTTTACCTACTATCACGTGAAGCACGTTTAGGCTATGGAAAATAATTTAGCACAAGATGTAAACTGAGCTAATGTTATTGCTCACAACTCATATGTCGCTCTGATCAAAAATAAAAACATCCAGCCTGAGGTTAACAGGAGAAGTCGACCTTTTGGCTTTTTGAAAATATATATTTCTTTTAAGCAGCAGGCATGTGCAATTGACAGCACACTGCATAATTAAAACGACTGTGAAAAGTCCTGAAATTGCCCTGAGAGTTAATGAAGTCGCACAGTGTGATGAGGGAAGATTGTGGTGGAAAGGGGTCAGCAGGCCTCTTCAGGCCTCTCGTCCATGGAAAATGGCTGCTGTCAGCCGTCGAACATTATGGGAATCTGAATGCCCACACAGTACACTCGAGCCGAGATTAATGACTTCAAATAGTGGCGTTTGGCAGAAGAGTTTCGTTTGCACTCTCAAAGGGACAAAAAACGTTGAGGAGGATGAAAAGTAAGTTACTGCTTATGGAATTCTTATAATTTGAGAGGGAGTTTTTACATTGAAAAATCATAACATAATAAGAGATCTATTCCACCAACACTTTTGAAATTATTCTTTGGGATATTGAACCATAAACTATTATCACTAAGCATTTTTTTTTGCCAATTTATCTTAAATATGCCAATCATACAATCAAAACCTAGGGCAGAACCCATCTTTATAATCCTTCACTATGGTACCTTTTTTACTACTTGATCTTGCCATATTCCGATACACCAATGCAGTCTAGCTATTCAACTTCAACTCAACATGCAATGAGTTAGGACTGCTTAAAAAATTGCTCTATTTAGTACGAAAGTGAGCACAGTCCCTTTTCTATTATACTTATAAAAATAAACAAAACCTTGCTATGTAATGTGTTAGGTTGGACCAAAATGGGACTTGTCAAAGCAGTATATACATATTGGTTTGTTGATTTTGATTCCTTATAATGTCAGTGTTGTCAGCTGAGTCCAGTCTTTCTCAAGATGTGGCTAACCATTTATTTTTGTCATTAAGAGACCTTCAGCTTTTTAAATGAAATAATCACCTTGACCTTTTAACACTAGCAGATACTTTTTAAAAAAAAATATTTCATTCTTTACAAAAACAACAAAAGCAGACAGTCATATTCTCTTTTATACTCTATCCCTTTATACTCTATCCCTCTATCCCTAACATTTTGTTCTTTTGTTACTTTGAT